GTGTTTGATGTATTGTGTCAACCTTGTGTTTGATGTATTGTGTTAACCTTGTGTTTGATGTATTGTGTTAATCTTGTGTTTGATGTATTGTGTTAACCTGTGTTTGATGTATTGTGTTAATCTTGTGTTTGATGTATTGTGTCAACCTTGTGTTTGATGCATTGTTAGAGATGTAATTTGTTTAAAAGTCATTTTATTTTGACTATGGCTTAGCTATATTTTTCTATGAAGTTTAAAATGGACAGTCCTTCCTTAAGTATCATGAAAATAAAAATAATTGTACAAAACATCATATCCCATTGGAGGTAGTACCAGTAGCGTAAACCGTGTCCACTTGATCACCAACAGAATTTTACAATAACCGTGGCTTACCTTACAGGGGTTCAGGATATCCACAATCTCATCGCCGTAGAGTTTAATGTTCCTCTTTCCCTTTATTCGAACTAAATAAAAGCAGAACAAATTTATATCATCCAAACAATTTGGTATATCCAGTATTTCAGGACAAAATTATATCATCCAAACAATTTGGCATAACCAGTATATCAGGACAAAGTTATATCATCCAAACAATTTGGCATAACCAGTATATCAGGACAAAGTTATTTCATCCAAACAATTTGGTATATCCAGTATATCAGGACAAAGTTATATCATCCTAACAATTTGGTATATCCAGTATATCAGGACAAAGTTATTTCATCCAAACAATTTGGTATATCCAGTATATCAGGACAAAGTTATATCATCCAAACGAATTGGTATATCCAGTATATCAGAACAGGACAATGTTACATATATCAAACAATTTGGTATATCCAGTATATAAGGACAAAGTTATATCATCCTGTGATGTAGGTTAGGAGCTGTGATGACAGTATACGTACATGTACCTCTGTGATGTACGTTAGGAGCTGTGATGACAGTAAACATACCTCTGTGATGTACATAAAGAGCTGTGATGACTGTATACATACCTCTGTGATGTACATGAAGAGCTGTACATGTGATGACTGTATACATACCTCTGTGATGTACGTTAGGAGCTGTGATGACAGTATACATTCCTCTGTTATGTACGGTAGGAGCTGTGATGATGGTATACATACCTCTGTTATGTACGGTAGGAGCTGTGATGATGGTATACATACCTCTGTAGTGTACGTTAGGAGCAGTGATGATGGTATACATACCTCTGTTATGTACGGTAGGAGCTGTGATGATGGTATACATACCTCTGTAGTGTACGTAAGGAGCAGTGATGATGGTATACATACCTCTGTTATGTACGGTAGGAGCTGTGATGATGGTATACATACCTCTGTTATGTACGGTAGGAGCTGTGATGATGGTATACATACCTCTGTAGTGTACGTTAGGAGCTGTGATGATGACTGAGGTACCAAATTCCTGCTCCAGTCTTTGACAAAATACATCCATGTGCAGCATACCTAGAAATCCAAGTCTCCAGCCCTGTCCTATTGCTGGACTAGAACGTAGTATTAGTCATATTAGAGGATCTATACAAATTTCAAATACTTAACGATTAGATAGCAACCTATATAGGATAATAAAATCCATGCAGCAATGTCAGGCTATACTGCAGAGCTGTTTCTTTAAATTCCACAAAAAATATGGTATATAGAGGATCTTACATAGAAACCTCAACACATGTTCGGTAACACAATGTGATTATCCTGTCAGAAATTTGATTATTAATATACATTTTGAGATTCAGCCTATAGCCCACCCATACTTTAAATAAAAGTACATGTTCAGGTTTAAGAAATCTATTGTCTGATGTCTAGTAGTTTGGACATTCTTGTTTTTAAAATTCACAGACAAAGAAGGTGTATAGCTATACTAAGCTGATACCCTACCGTGACGAAGGAGGTGTATAGCTATACTAACCTGAAACACTACTGTGACGAAGGGGGTGTATAGCTATACTAACCTGAAACACAACTGTGACGAAGGGGGTGTATAACTATACTAACCTGATACACTACCGTGACGAAGGGGGTGTATAGCTATACTTACCTGATACACTACCGTGATGAAGGAGATGTATAGCTATACTAACCTGATACACTACCGTGACGAAGGAGGTGTATAGCTATACTAACCTGAAACACTACTGTGACGAAGGGGGTGTATAGCTATACTAACCTGATACACTACCGTGACGAAGGGAGTGTATAGCTATACTTACCTGATACACTACCGTGATGAAGGAGGTGTATAGCTATACTAACCTGAAACACTACTGTGACGAAGGGGGTGTATAGCTATACTAACCTGATACCCTACCGTGACGAAGGGAGTGTATAGCTATACTAACCTGATACACTACCGTGATGAAGGAGGTGTATAGCTATACTAACCTGAAACACTACTGTGACGAAGGGGGTGTATAGCTATACTAACCTGATACCCTACCGTGACGAAGGGAGTGTATAGCTATACTAACCTGATACACTACAGTGACGAAGGGAGTGTATAGCTATACTAACCTGATACACTACCATGATGAAGGATGTGTATAGCTATACTAACCTGATACACTACCGTGGTGAAGGAGGTGTATAGCTATACTAACCTGATACATTACCGTGATGAAGGAGGTGTATAGCTATACTAACCTGATACACTCCCATTATGAAGGATGTGTATAGCTATACTAACCTGATACACTATCGTGACGAAGGAGGTGTATAGCTATACTAACCTGATCCACTACCATGATGAAGGAGGTGTATAGCTATACTAACCTGATACATTACCGTGATGAAGGAGGTGTATAGCTATACTAACCTGATACATTACCGTGATGAAGGAGGTGTATAGCTATACTAACCTGATACATTACCGTGATGAAGGAGGTGTATAGCTATACTAACCTGATACCCTACCGTGACGAAGGGAGTGTATAGCTATACTAACATGATACCCTACCGTGACGAAGGAGGTGTATAGCTATACTAGCCTGATACACTACCGTGACGAAGGAGGTGTATAGCTATACTAAACTGATACACTACCGTGACGAAGGGAGTGTATAGCTATACTAACATGATACCCTACCGTGACGAAGGAGGTGTATAGCTATCCTAACCTGATCCACTACCGTGATGAAGGAGGTGTATAGCTATACTAACCTGATACCCTACCGTGACGAAGGAGGTGTATAGCTATCCTAACCTGATCCACTACCGTGATGAAGGAGGTGTATAGCTATACTAACCTGATACCCTACCGTGACGAAGGAGGTGTATAGCTATCCTAACCTGATCCACTACCGTGATGAAGGAGGTGTATAGCTATACTAACCTGATACATTACCGTGATGAAGGAGGTGTATAGCTATACTAACCTGATACCCTACCGTGACGAAGGGAGTGTATAGCTATACTAACATGAGACACTACCGTGACGAAGGAGGTGTATAGCTATACTAGCCTGATACACTACCGTGACGAAGGGGGTGTATAGCTATACTAACATGATACACTACCATGATGAAGGAGGTGTATAGCTATAATAACCTGATACACTACCATGATGAAGGAGGTGTATAGCTATAATAACCTGATACACTACCATGATGAAGGAGGTGTATAGCTATACTAACCTGATACACTACCGTGACGAAGGGAGTGTATAGCTATACTAACATGATACACTACCGTGACGAAGGAGGTGTATAGCTATACTAACCTGAAACACTACCGTGACGAAGGGGGTGTATAGCTATACTAACCTGATACACTACCGTGGTGAAGGAGGTGTATAGCTATACTAACCTGATACATTACCGTGATGAAGGAGGTGTATAGCTATACTAACCTGATACACTACCGTGACGAAGGAGGTGTATAGCTATACTAACCTGATACACTACCATGAGGGTTAGTTTGGACTCACCTGCTTTCCACATTCACAGACACACTACCGTCATTGAGTGTGAGTTTGGTCATGGCGGCCTTCAGCACAATTAGCTGTGATTGATCTGATGGGAATATTCCAGCAAACACCTGAAAATCAATATCTTATTTTAATAAGGGAAATATTTCATCATTAACAACATATCAGCATAGACACTCCAAGACATTTTTTCCAAATGAGTCGCTTAGCAATATCATAGAGTTGGACCAGTCAAGAAAGTCCAAAGAAGCAATGTCACAATACACTTGTGATACAGATGTAATGTGAGTGTAAACCTATGTAAGTTAGGTGTATTATCATAGTTTAACAGATTAGTTCATCTGTCAATAGGTATGCTTAAAATACATGCAGTTGAAAACAATACTAAGGAGATTCAATCAGTATTTATATTAATTATAATTCAGTTCAATATTGCAAGTACAAAAAGCACCAAAATAAGATTACTGCTAAAATGTCCACGTTTACAGACTGTAAACCTTAGACGGCCTACATTCATAGACTGTGTATATTATAGCCTAATACATGTACTTTCCTCTCCACTTACAAATATTTTCCTCTTCACTCTTAATATATCGTAAGACAATTTCTATGTAGAAGAGGAAACACTAAGAAATAAGTCTTGTTCAACATAACAAAGATGATGTACTATAGGTGTGCTTGGAAAAACAAGGAAATCAGTTATCAGCATAAAGTTTCAACAAGATCTTTTAGGGCTTGTTCTGTGCTAGATTTTCAGATCCATCCATAATTTGAGCATGTTCAGCTACGGACAGTTTGGATCAAGCAAGCTAAGTTTCATTCGGATCCCTTATATTAAGTACATTTGGAAAAATGGCAGTAATACACTTAATAACATGAAATATTCTTTTAAAATCAAAGACATCCAGTGGCAGTTATATTTTTTTCCTGAACTTATACAATAGCAAATATAGCAGGCGAAGCCTTATACCACAGATACAGCATGTGTGAAACTTACAACATAGAAACAGCAGATGTTAGCCTTATACTAAAGATACAGCAGGTGAAGCCTTATACCACAGATACAGCATGTGTGAACCTTACAACATAGAAACAGCAGATGTTAGCCTTATACCACAGATACAACAGGTGAAGCCTTATACCACAGATACAGCATGTGTGAACCTTACAACATAGAAACAGAAGATGTTAGCCTTATACCACAGATACAGCAGGTGAAGCCTTATACCACAGATACAGCATTTGTAAACCTTACAACATAGAAACAGAAGATGTTAGCCTTATACCACAGATACAGCAGGTGAAGCCTTATACCACAGATACAGCATGTGTGAACCTTACAACATAGAAACAGCAGATGTTAGCCTTATACCACAGATACAGCAGGTGAAGCCTTATACCACAGATACAGCATGTGTGAACCTTACAACATAGAAACAGCAGATGTTAGCCTTATACCACAGATACAGCAGGTGAAGCCTTATACCACAGATACAGCATGTGTGAACCTTACAACATAGAAACAGCAGATGTTAGCCTTATACCACAGATACAGCAGGTGAAGCCTTATACCACAGATACAGCATGTGTGAACCTTACAACATAGAAACAGCAGATGTTAGCCTTATACCACAGATACAGCAGGTGAAGCCTTATACCACAGATACAGCATGTGTGAACCTTACAACATAGAAACAGCAGATGTTAGCCTTATACCACAGATACAGCAGGTGAAGCCTTATACCACAGATACAGCATGTGTGAACCTTACAACATAGAAACAGCAGATGTTAGCCTTATACCATAGATACAGCAGGTGAAGCCTTATACCACAGATACAGCATGTGTGAACCTTACAACATAGAAACAGCAGATGTTAGCCTTATACCACAGATACAGCAGGTTTAAATCCTGGCAATGGTTCCACAGGTGACTTCTGGTGACAGAAAGTATCGCCCACTTGAAAGTCCGAGATCTTCTTAAAGTTAGCGTGTATGAAGCCTACCTGTCCTGCATATCTGTAAGGACAGAACTACAATGAGGTACATAGTTAACATATAAGGAACGGCGCTAACCTTTAGCTAAATCGATGGATTTTTTCCCAATTTCAATGTTAGCATATTTATAATTCAACCACATATTTTATGATAGGTAAAGATTTGCGATTGACAAAAACAAAAACAAACAAAATCAAGATTTTTAAAAAGTACCTGGTAATATTCTGCTCAGTCAATCATGAAATGTTTGCAGTGTATCAGTATTCAGGGGTAACAACATATATCACAAACATTACATCAGTGGATGTACCAATCACAAATGTATGTTTGTGTCAACGAAAACAAGTTTGTAAACATTGAATCACTAATTGATATGTAAGTGACGGACAAGAATATTTTAGCTGTACCATAAACCTAACAAGTATTATCTGATACACATTTACTTACAGAACATTGACCAGTTTCTCGTTAGGATGTAGGATGCCAGTCCCTTGAACTTCATATGACTTTTTCGAAAATAATGACATGATTTTATCACCTGAAATAAAAAATAAAAACATTTAAGTACAGATGTATCAGACAAATAACATGTACCAGTAATAATCCATGATTTCAAATCTTAGCAAAAACATTTTTTTATTTTCAAAAACAACATTTGAAGTTTGACTTTTACAACCCCTGTATATACATTGAAGTTGTGGTATCTTTCCATTACTTACCTGTGGTAAATTCAGGGGGATCAAATTTACACTGCCATCCAATACTAACCTTTCTTTACACTACCATCCAAAACTTACCTTTCTTTACACTGCCATCCAATACTTACCTTTCTTTACACTACCATCCAATACTAACCTTTTTTGACGCTGCCATCCAATACTAAAATATTTCCCACAGCTCCTCGATACTGATCATACTGCGAGTCAAATACCAGACACTTTAGGGGTTTGTTTCTGTCTCCTGGAGGGCTGAATACAAAATACATAAAAAATACCGGTACATGCATCTAATACAAGTGTTATACTGTGAAACAGATTCTAAAGGATGGATGTTTAAACTTAATGAAACACAAAAACAACTTGCTATACTGACTTTGCCATTTCAGCAGAAACAAATCAGTTATACACTGTATACATGATATACATAGGATGGCATATTTTCCTATCATACCTTTCCAAAATAAATACATAATGAAACAAAAGTTGAAACACTGATTCTCCTGGCGGTGGAAATGCCTTGATATTGTCTGTAATATGAAGGTCGCAACAAATGTTAATCTATTACATAATAAAGGTTTATGAAGAAATATTTGTTGGTATTAATAAACCATTTCACTACTGCATGACTGTAGAATTGGTTGGTTAACCCCAAATGGTACATGCCCAAATGACGGACATCACAACATGAAAAGATGACCAAATGTATTGAATTGTCATTGACGCTGAGGTGAAAATTTTGGCTTTCTCAACAAATGTTGCGGCCCTACAGCTAGAATGTCTATGTATATTAAAAACAAGAGGCCCAGAGGGCCTGTATCGCTCACCTGAATACTTAAGCAATCATGGCAAAATATTCACCTAATAAGATCCAAGGGAATTGGCCAGACGCTAAGGCCAAACCTTGTAGCATATCTGTATTGGATTGTTCATGCCCAGCAAGTTTATGTATGGTAATGGGGTGGGGATCTCAACTGTTTCCAAGCTGTGACTCAGAAACTAGGTCCCTAGGGCTGTGGCCAGACCCAGGGTCAATTCTAATATCATGACTGCATTCATCTATTTATATTTACATTCTGTATGCTTAGACCCATTGACAAAAATTACATTCATAAATGCATAACACAGGTGTTCATAGAATCTCAGCACGTGGGAACTGATAGTAACCTGATCACACTGCGTAGTTATACACTACAAAAACAA